CTTCTTCTGCTTCTGCTTCTGCCTTCTTCTGCTTCTGCCTTCTTCTGCTTCTGCTTCTGCCTTCTTCTGCTTCTGCTTCTGCCTTCTTCTGCTTCTGCTTCTGCCTTCTTCTGCTTCTGCTTCTGCTTCTGCCTTCTGCTTCTGCTTCTGCTTCTGCTTCTGCCTTCTTTTTCCTGTCATGGGGCTTGAATTCAGGGCCTGGGCGCTGTCCCTGAGCTCTTTTGCTCCACACAGCTCCACTTCGGAGATGAGTCTCATGGGGACTTTTCTACTCAGTCTGTCTTTGAACCACAATTGTCAGATCTCAGCCTCCTGAGTAGTTAGAATTACAGGCATGAGCCATCAATACTCAGCCATGTATTTCTTAATATTGGAAAAACATATGTAATATAAAATTTATCTTAATGTTTTAAGTGTACTGTTTGGTGGTGTTAATTACAGTCATGTTTCACACCTATCACTATTTCCTTTGTCTCACTTCACATTCCTCTTAGCATTTTTTGTGTGTATGTATGTTTGTCCTAGGGCTTGAACTAAGAGCCTGGGCACTATCCTTAAGCTTTTGTGCTCAAAACTAGCACTCTACCAATTAAGCCATATGTCCACTTCCAGCTTTTGGGCAGTTAGTTGGAAATGAGAGTCCATGGACTTTCCTGCTCAGGTTGACTTTGAACCATAATCCTCAGATCTCATCGTCAATAGCTAGGATTACAGGTATGAGCCATCAGCACCCCTCTTTGTGTGGGGGGCAGGGGAGAGGATGATATTGGGGCTTGACCCCAGGGCCCAGGCAATTGTCCCTGAGCTTTTAAGCTCAAGGCTAATGCACTACAACTTGAGCTACAGCTCCACTTCTGGCCTCTTTGAACATTGGTCCTCTGATCTCAGCCTCCTGGATATAGGATATAGGCATGGACCACTGGTGCCCAATTCATTACTATTTTTTTTTATTTTATTTTTACCAATTTTTATTATTTGAGTCAACCAGTATATTTATGCCTATTCTATTGATGAATATTGTTAAATACTAAGAATGAAAATGTGAATAAGACATATTTCCTGTATTCTGCAAAAGTTAATAGTATAAATGAAGTCTGGAAGCTTTGACCTAGGATGTTGGAATATATGAAAAAGGAGTACTAGCCTAAGGTTTGGGGATTTAAGTTGAAGCCAAAATAGTCCAGTTGAAAGAGCTATAGCGAAGGAAGTAGATTTGTTAGTAGCCTCGGCTGGTTGTAGGTACAGAGAATTGGACATATGTAGAGTTGGACTTTACCTGAACAGGTGTTAGAGGAATTCAGTAGAATACAAGATGGATGTAATGATGCATGTTTAAGCCTTTTGGCATTTTAACTGAATAGGATGTAGAGAATATCGGTTGGTAGGATGCCACAAGTGTTAGTTGATAGGAACTAGAGATCCAATGTGATTCTAAGAGTCATGAGCAAGAATTAAAAGTAGAAGTTATTAGAGTGGAATGTTGTACTTGTTATAGAACTGAAACAGTTATGGACAATGGAAGTTCTAGGGTGTGGCTGTGGACTATGTATCTAAAACAAGGTCTCTATGGTAATTCATTGGACTTGTAAGTCTTTGGATGATGATAAGACTTAGGAGGAGCACAGGAGAGCAATAATGAATCAGGAACCAAATTCTTCAATATATAAAGGTAATCTATAAGCAGATAATATTTTCTGTCTATATAAAGAGACACTATAAATGATTTTTCCTGGATAGCAGTCACAAACTAGGTTGTCCAGATCAAACCAAAGCTACATGGCCAGCCCATCTATGTGTAAAGCCCAGATGGTACAACCATCAAGAAGGGTGCAGGGAACTATGAAGATTTTCAGATTATTATTAGCACTGAACCATCTTCACATTGCTGGGCTTCTATATTTAGCCTTACCTATGTTTAAACTTTGCCTTTTATCACTTGACAAAATACAAAAGAGGAACAATTTAAAGAAGGAAACTTTTTTTTATTTTTTGGCTGATTCAAAGGCAGTCAGTCTAAGAGCCTGGTTAGGTAGAACAGAGTGACAAAAGAGGTGGAGGGACAAAATTGCTCACCTCTCAGTAGCAGAGAGAAACAGGAGACGGGAGCAGGGAACAGGATACATCTTTCAAAGGCATGCCCCAGAGACCTACATCCTCCAGCCCGGCCGGCCTCCTGGTAGTCCATTGAGCTGTAATCTTATCAACAGATGCATCGTTTGGTTAGGCAAGAGCTTTCATGACCAGTCCTTTTGTAGCAGATGGCTTATAGTGAATTATAGCAGTTGCCAGTTTTATTGTTATTCTTTTTTCATACTGAATTTTATGCATTTTTGCCTTTTGCTTTTTGAATTGGTTAGATGATAGATTCTATCTTATTTTTATTCATAGAAAGCTTAGATATATTTATTGTACTTTTTATACTTTTTAATTCATTGATGTTATATTTCTCTTAGTTTTTTTAAAGTTCTGTTTCTAACTTACTTGTGATATATACTTTTCCTTTTTCTTAGAATAAGTGTTTAAAAATGGAATTATGATTTACTACTTTGTTTCTGTTGTTTTGAAAATATTCTGCATTTATGTACACCAAGTAAATAGAGATTTATGGGTTTTTTTCCTTTTTACTTGTTTTCTAGTTTGATAGTTTTGTAAGAGATCCTGATATATATTAAATAGTAAGAATAATTTACTGAATGGTTTGATTCAGGAATTCTTTAAAAGAATAAAGAAATTTACCGTTTCATTAATTTTTACCTTACACTTTTATAGTTTAATTGTATTATAATCTGAAAATATGAATGTTAACTATACTTGTAGCTGGTACAAATGTAAGGTTTGTGTAAAGATTAAAAAATACGAAAATAAACTTTAGATAAATCAAAGACTTAGAAGGAAACTATAATATAAAGTAGACCTATGAGGAGAAAAAAGTAAAAAAAAAAAGTAAACATTTTTATTAAGTAGGAAATAGCCTTTCTGGAACTATTTCTTAAAATTTAAAGCCATAAAATACTATTTGGAAAAAATATGTACTAAATCAAGTCAAACTTGGAAAAATATTTCTAAAAACTTGACAACTTGTCATGTGTATACAAATCATTAAGACAGAATTGAACAAAAAAATGTAAAACAAAAAGATTGGACAGAAAAATGAGAGAGGCTGGAAGCAGATAATTCTAAAAGGAATACAAATGTCTGATGCCTGAAACATCTTCCAGTTTTGATTGTTAATATACCTTAAGTGGTTTCTGGATGTGTGTTTCTCTTTGCCTACCTGCCCTGCCCTCATGCCTATCAATTGGCAGAGATTAAAAGTATTGGGAATATTTCCTACCAATAAGTTAGAAGTATAAATTGATAGGACTTTTGGAAGATCACTTAGTTTGTGTTTGTTTCTCTGTGATCTAATAATTTTTCCACTAGATATTTATCTTATTAAAAAAAAAAAGCATAAACCAGGTGCCAGTTGGCTCACTCCTGTAATCCTAGCTACTCAAGAGGCTGAGGTCTGAGGACCATGGAAGCCAGCCCAGGCAGAAAAGTCCCAGTAAGACTCTTATCTCCAATTAACCACTCAAAAACCAGAAGTGGCTCAAAGTAGTAGAGTGCTAGCCGTGAGCAACAGAGCTCAAGGACAGCACCCAGGCCCTGAGTTCAAGCCCCGTGACCAAAAATAAAAATGAAAAAGCACTGTCCACTAGCATGTACTTTACATATTTGATGGCCTATTATATATATTAAGAATGGTCAGGAGGCTGAGGCCAACTTGTTCCAGGCTATCTTAGGCTAAATACTGAGGCTCTATCTCTAAAAACTTGAATAATGTACTAACACAAAAAGGTATATAAGGTAGAGTTAAATGAGAAGAGTATCATACCAGTGTGTGCAGTGCCATTTTGTAGTTCATAAAACAGAACACTGTACTATATATACTTACTATTCACAGAAGATCAACCAGAGGAACATATACCAGATTATTAGTATAGTTATCTCTGAAAATGGAATTACTTCTGAAATGTTTGGATTATACCTTTTAATTATTGGTGAAATTATTGGTGTTTATTCAATCAGTCATTATAGTTGTTTGTCTGATTTGTACATTAAACATTACAAGCATTTCTCAATTTTATCCTGTACTGGAAAACTAATGAGAAGTCATATAGGTAACTATTGTTTAAAAGTGAACACAGAAATATTATTTTAAATTTTTCCTTTCACATTTGTGATAGAAAACATCTAGTTAGTTCATATTTACCAGGACTGTCCTCACAAGACTTTTAATAATTCCATTAAAGATCTTTTCATTACACTCCTTGAGTGAATTTGAATTGTTTACCTTAGAAATAAAAAAGCTCACTTAATTAAATGCTTAACGGTACTCAACAGTATAGATGAAACTTCAGAGTTCTTTTATATCAGTGAATTTAATAAATATTTATTATTCGTTATATTTTCTTCTCTTTGCCTCCCATTGTTCCTACAGAGGCAGTTGGTGTAACCAGTCAGCGGCCAGTGTTTTGTCCTTATCATAAAAAGGAGCAGTTGAAGCTTTACTGTGAGACATGTGACAAACTGACCTGTCGGGACTGTCAGCTGCTAGAACACAAAGAGCACAGGTCTCAGCATCTTTCTTTTGGCCAAAGTTTGCTTGACATCTGACCTCCACAGGCCTTTTACTTAGCAACTGCTGATATAGATAAGAGGATCTAGATTAATTAATTTATATTATTATATACATATTAATATATGCTATATATTAATATATATAGTTACTTAGAATGATCTATGCTCCCAGTCATGGAAGACTAGATAATTAGGCCACTCATGACAACAAAAATGAGTAGAAAACCTGGACAAAAATCCAGAAATCATATGTAAGAAATTTCAGAGCTAATATCAAATACAGATTGAAATGGAACCAGAACATGAAAAGAACTCCTCCCTCCCTTGAGGCATTCCCACCCAATCCATTTAAGGTATTAAAGATCAAACCCAAGGCCTCATATATGCTGAATATGCACTCTACATCCCAGCCCCAAAATCTGTTAAATGAATATGTCAGGTATTTGAAGTATTTTAAGTGAAATGGAAAATTTCTTTTAAAACTACACCTTTTCTGAAGCTAATGTAAAAAAAAATAGAAAATTAAAATATTCCTACAATGTAAATCCATACTTTAAAACTCATGCAGAAAATTGTGTCCCCTCAAGACTTCACTAATGGATATATAAGACATTGTAAAAGCACAACACTTCCTTTTGTAAACTTGTCTCAAGAATAACAGTGAGAAAGTGGGTTTTTGTTTGTTTGCTTGTTTTTCCAGCCCTGGTGCTTGAACTCAGGGTCTGGGCACTGTCCCTGAGCTGCTTCTGCTCAAGGCTAGCACTCTACCACTTGAGCCACAGCACCACTTCTGGCTTTTTCTGTTTATGTGGTACTGAGGAATCGAACCCAGGACTTCATGTGTGCTAAGCAAGCACTCTACCACTAAGCCACATTCCCAGCTCTATGAGCTATCTTGTTTCATGAAGACAATCATAATTTTCATACCAAAACCTAGTTTCATTCTTGAAAGATGATAAAAAGTCTAAGAAATAGGAAAACAAATCCAAAGATAAGTCATTTTGGACCACCACAACCAAATTGGCCTTATTTTCAGAAAAAAATTCATTAATATTTCAAAGTTGAGGGGAAAAAGGCTCCATATACTGCCCAGGGTAGGGTCTTGCCTATTTCAAACAAGCCAACCACAATCTGACAAGTTCGAGGAAAAATGGCCAGAGGTAAGATAAAGCACCAGTCCAGGACAAGTCTTCTGAGACCTGCTGCTCATTCCTGAGGCCTTTACTTTTTGTTAAATAAATTCTTTGACACTCATTGTTCTGTGTATGTGTATCAGTCATGCATTTCAGCTGAGCACTGGTGGCTCATACCTATAATCCTAGGGTGAGATCTGAGGATCGGGGTTCAATGTCAGCCTGAGCAGGAAAGTACCTGAGACTCCTGTCTTCAATTAATCATCAAAAAAACAGAAATGGAGCTATGGCTCAAAGTAGTGGAACACTAGCCTTGAACACAAAAACTCAGGGACAGGGCCCAGGCCCTGAGTTCAAGCCCCATTACTAACAAAATAAGCAACAACAACATTGATGTCTTATTAAAAGATTACATGATAATGTCAATAGAAGCAAGGAAACATTTAGTAGAAATTAAATACACACTTATAAAATCCTAGTGAATGAGAAATCAGAGGAAATTTCCTAAATTTGATAAAGATTATAAAAAAAAACTTGTGAACATCACAATAATGTAATATGGAGTTTTTACATTGAGATTTGGAACAATGTAAGAATGACCATTTTAATTATTGTAATATATCAAATGAAAATACTGGACCATATCATTAAGTGTAAGTTTACTAATATATCAAAAAAGAAAAAAAAACCTTAAGTTGTTTAAGAAAGAATTACGAAGGACATTTTAACATTTAGTGTTATTTGATTATGTACAAAAGAAATCCCGGCTGGGAATGTATGTGTCTTAGTGGCAGAATGTTTGCCAAGCATGCATGAAGCTCTGGGTTCCATCCCTCAGTACCACATAACAAAAAAATTAATTAAACTAATACTGAGTCATAGTTAAAAAAATCCAATAGAATTGTCTTTTTTAAAAACATATTTATAGTGCTCATTTGCACTTGTACATTTATAGTCACATTTATAAAATGTATTAATTTAAAAATAGTGTATTTGTTTTCTGAAAACTCAAAGCTCTTCATAAGGTTTTCTACATTATTGTCTAAAGCTTCTATTGCACTATTTTACATAGTTTGCCAGACTGCCTTTACTTCAAGTCAGTGCATTTTGTGAATACTATGGTAGTGTTGCCTGAAGCAAGAATTTTGACTCTTCCCAAGCTCTCCCATTTATCTAAAGCCATATATTTGTGAGCTGTAGAACATAGTTACCTATTCCTTAAAAGTGACCTGAAATTTTCCTAATTATGAAATTACAAATGCTTAGTAAGTCTCATATATCTTAATTATTTTTGGCAGGTCTGTCAAGTTGAGCTATCTAAGCTTCTAAAACCATGAATAAACTTAAACTTAGGAAATAATTTCAAGAGTGTCCATTATTATGCCTGAAGGAATAATTTGTGAGATGGGAAAGTCTGCCTTATGTTACTTATTATGTATAGTATATATGTATTTTATATATTATACTTATATATTATATAACTAATTTTAAAGCATTATTACATTATCTTAATCATTGTTCTTTTCCTTTTTTTACATATTTGTTTGTATGAAATAATTTGCTTATTTACTTTCTTCAGATACCAATTTATAGAAGAAGCTTTTCAGAATCAAAAAGTGATAATAGATACACTGATCACCAAACTGATGGAAAAAACAAAGTACATAAAATATACAGGAAACCAGATCCAAAACAGGTAAATGTAGATTTATATTATTATATAAATAAATGTATTCACTTTTAGAGGAGAGTATTTTTCTTGATTCTTTGTTAAGTATGCAATAAGTTATCAGATGTCGCTAACAATACATGGTAGCAAGACTTTTCTACAAACTTTGTGTTGAAAAGCATTTTTTTTAAGCCATGAAATTTAAAAAATAAAGTGACTAGTAAAACTCGTTTATCTGCTTGTTTTTATAATGATCTGGTGTTTTGTAAATTTTAAAGAAACATCAAGGATTAAAGACAAAATGAACCATTTTTGCCAGTGTGGTAAAATATTTTAACACTTCATTAATGCTCCAATTTCAAATGTTTCTCTTGGCCACAAGGAAAGAGGTAGGATGTTCAGAATACTAGAGATATGAATTGCCATACTACTTCACATACCTTTTATTCTTTATGTGATAGAAAGCATAGTTTCTAGTTACTACTTGCTATGCCTTTTTCCTCCCCAAAAGAAACTCAACTGTCCCCAAAACTCACATCCCAGAATTCAGCAATGGAAGAGAGTTGTCTAACGCTCATTTTTAATCCTTCAGGGTACACATACACATATGCAATAGCATGTCCTCTTTTCCTTTGTTGTTTTCATACAAAAGTAACATGTCACTGCTTAGGAGGTCAAGAAGTGCCTGACAGAGTAGCCTAAACAAGAGATGTGGTAGGAAACATGAATGTTGTTCACTGGGAAAATCGTGTCCGCCCTTGAGGTTTGTCTTGCCATACACCATCATAGTCTATTATTCCTTACCATTTGGGAACATCACAAGCAGTGGTACACTTGAGAGAATTTTTCAGGAAATTTTCTAAATTGACTTCCTTAAAGGAAATTCTTAACTGTGAATTAACCTTGTATTGCCATCCCAGTATTAGGATTGTTATATAAATATCATGCAGCTTAACTTGTTTAATAGTGATTATACATTATACATTGTGTACTTTTAGTTTTTCTGAACTAGCTTGTTCAGAATTAACCAAATACTATTTCCTTTACCATATTCCAACCAGAATGATATGTTTTGCCAAGCAGATAATAAATGGGGCTTTAATATTTTTGATTTCGAGTAATTGAAAACTTGTAATAAATGTTTGTTAAACAAGTGAGAGAGTGGAGCACCAGTGGCTCACGCCTGTACTCCTAGCTACTCAGGAGGCTGAAATCTGAGGAGCACAGTTCAAAGCCAACCAGGGCAGAAAATTAACCACCAGAAAACCAAAAGTGGTATTGTGGCTCAAATGATAGAGTGCTGGCCTTGAGCTGAAGAGCTCAGGGACAGCACCCAGGCCCAGAATTTAAGCTCTACCAATGACAAAAAACAAAACCAGATTAAAAAAATAAAAGTAAAAAGTGGACTGGGAAGGTGGCTCAGTGATAGACTGCTTGCCTTGCATGCATAAGGCCTTGGGTTCCATTCCTCAGCACCACATAAGCAGAAAAGGCTGGAAGTGGCACTGTGGCTCAAGTGGTAGAGCGCTCACCTTGAGCTAAAGAGCTGAGGGACAGTGCCCAGGCCCAGAGTTTAGGCCCCACGATCGACAAAAAAAAAAAAAGATAATTGCAGGCCTTTCTCTCATCTAGTGGAAAAAAAAAGTAGAAATAGTAAAATAAATTTAAGGCAAAGATATATCTACCCTTAATGAAAGAAGCTCTCAATTCTACCACTGTGGTATGGGCTGTGGTTCAGGGGTCACATTTTTTTTTTTTAACAGACAGATAGATACTCTTTCCAACATCATTTGTTGGAAAGATGGCTTATGTATTGTATTGCCTTGGTACCGTCATAGAAAATCTGTTCACCATGTAAGTTATTAGTTATTTCTGGACACTGCATATATTCTGTTGTGTTTTTCCTTTGGTCAATACCCCCACTCCAGAGATCAGCTTCTTAATAGTAACTCTCACAGTCAGATTGGGTGAGTTCTTCAAATTTGTTCATTTACTTTTTTGTGTAGCTTAAGCAATTCTGTTTTGTTTTATAAAATAATAGGACTATATAGACAGATTGTATTTCTGAACTATGGTAAAAAATTTAAAGAATCTATTAGAGGGTGGAAAGAGGGAACACTAGTTGAACCAAGGGCCACACGTGTTAATACTGAGTTACATCTGAGCCTGCTTGTATTTCTTTATAGCCTGATTATAGCAAAATTAAAAGTATTATGCTGAACAATGTTGCTACTAAATCATTTTCATATATAGAGATATTTGCAAACAGCACTGCTTTTTCCTTTATTCATCCATTCTACCATCATGAAGATTTAAATGAGTTTTTAAGAGATTAGTTACTTGTTCTTCCTAGTTTTCTTAAGCCTCTATTATTAATACAGGAATCAAATAATTACCTTGCCAAATTTCCAACAGAGAATGAAATCTCTACTGTTTTGTTCAAAAATTTTAGAAAGCAGCCATGGAAGAAGCAGCAGGAGAAATAAGGCTTTTTGTTTAATCTCATAACATTGTGTACATGTTCTATTGCCCTTTCCTACTTTATAAAATATTGTAGCATGGTGCTTTGTGCTTTCTTCTGATTCATTTCATCACCATGAGATGGCATTCCCAGTTTTCTCTGATCAAAGAAAGAAAACTTGTTTGATAAAATATAGTTGTGTTGCTGCATATTTCAAAGTAAATGTGTTTACAAAGTGAAACAAACCACTACTATCTTTGTTATTCTGCTTAGTTTTAATGAAAACTTTAGCAGTTCAGATGCTAAGATCACATTTGCACTTCCCTCATTTATAAATTTTAGTTTTGGTCTACTGTCCTCACCAAATCCTTTTAAGCGAAGTATTGATTTTCCTGAGTGTGATAATCTTTTCAACCAAATTGTGTTCTTTCTCTTCCAATATTATTTGATTTTAGGACTAAGTTGAATGACTGTGTCTTTGAGAAGAATTATTTCTCCTGTCCTATCTTCAAGACAGTCCACTGAAATAGAGCTTTTTTTTTTTTTTATCTAATTTCGGCAAAAAAATGTCAAGTTAAAACAGTGTTTTACAAATCTGTATTAAAGTTTAGATGTTTTCCCCCTCTTTCACTTAATTTTCAGAATAATTGAAGTTAATCAAAATCAAAAGCAGGTGGAACAGGATATTAAAGTTGCTATCTTCACACTGATGGTAGAAATAAATAAAAAAGGAAAAGCTCTGCTACATCAGCTAGAGGTAAGTTACTGCCAGGGTCCACTAGGTTGCAATGATTTAAGATTGTATTTTCTAATGTGTTGTGCATTTGAAGTCATGCGTCTTTCCCTTTCCATTTATGATTTAAAATACATCTTCTCTATTCTCAATTTTTTTTGCCAGGTCCTACATTGTTATAAACCATTTATAGCTTTATAATGTACTAGGAATGTTTTTTTCCTTGTATGCCTTGTAGCACAAAGCATATAGTCTTGCTCATGGGAAAAGCAATGTGACTGTTGAAGAGATGACTTATTTTAGACACTCATTGAAGTGATATTTTTACATTGCCAAAGGGAATAAGTTCAGCAGAACTTTCTAGAAAGCTGAACTATTTATTAGTTATATGTAGTCTTAATATATAGTCTTGCAACAGCAAGCTATATATAGAGAGAGAGCTATATATATATATATGTATATGCAACAATGGTCTCATACTTTGCCTTCTGGTGACTTGATAACCAACTTAGTTTGTGTGAGTACTTGATATTTTGCACAGGGATGAAAGTGCTTGATGACACATTTCTAATAACACATCCCCATTGTTAAACCATGCATGACTGCATATTTAATCTTTTGAGAAATTAGGTAAAATAATACAACAACTGCTGTCAAATTTTACGTTAATTGTGAAAGCATCATTTCAAGAGATGTTAGGAAAGTTTCTTCTAACTTCATCTTTTCTTTTCTTTTTTTTTTTGTGGGGGGGGGTGGTCTGGTCGTGGGCCTGAACTCTGGGCCTGAGCACTGTCCCTCAGCTCTTCAGCTCAAGGCTAGCGCTCTACCACTTGAGCCACAGCACCACTTCTGGCTTTCTTTTTTCCTGCTTATGTGGTGCTGAGGAATCGAACCCAGGGCCTCATGCATGCAAGGCAAGCGCTCTACCACTGAGCCACCTTCCCAGCCCTAACTTCATCTTTTCTTAAAACTCATAAAGGATAATGTCCAAAAATCATTGATTGACTTCAAGTAATAGAAGGTTATGATTTTTTACATAGTACACATCAGCTTATAAATATTCTTTTAGTTTGTTGATGCAGGAGGAATTTAATCAAGAAGTTTAAACCAGAATAAAGGAATCCTAGTGTTTGCAGAATTGAGGGAAAACAAGACTTCTAGAAATGATAGACATCTTTATTTCATAATTGATCAAATTATAAGAACTGTCTCAGAAGGTTATTCCCATGACTTTAATTAGCCATACAGGAAATAAAGATTAAAATAATTATGAACAGAAGGAATAAGACCCTGTTTATAATAACTGTTACTAAAGTTCTTTGCAGGATTTTTGTATTGTTCTATTTGCAAGAAGAGATAGGTAAAGAAGATTTTGAAGTTTACAAAGCTCTTTAACAAATGTCACTTTGGTTTGCTTCCCTAGAGATTAGTAATGCATATAACTGCTTTGGCTGTGTTTCCAAACATTATATAAGAATCATTTAAAGAACTCTAAAAAATTATAAATAAAACGATAAAACCTATGAAGATAGATTTGGCTATCAGTATTGTTTTTAATTTACTTTGACTTTAATTTCCAGTGCATCTCTATAATGTGCCTCTATGTTTTATATCTGTTGTCTTGGTTCAAACAAATATTTTATCTGCTAAGGCTCAAAAAGTTGTTACCTTAGAAAAGAAAAACTCTGTAGTCTCTGATTCTCAGTTCCCATTCTCCCAAAGGACAACAGGTTTCTATTTCTACTACAGCTTTTCCAAAGAAACACTTAGGTCTCACAGACATCAGGAATGGCATAATTGGTACATTACCTTCCCTCTGAACTTAGATTTGACAAAAGCATTCATTGACTGTTTTCAGTCCCATAAATGGCTAATAGAATTTAGTTTATATGTATTTTCTAAGTTTGGAACTGATTGGATAGATATCTAGATTTACTCTTTAATGAAAAGATAAGTCCATTTTGGAATACAGCCCTTATACTTGTATTAAACTTTTTACATTTGGCTGAGCCAGTAGAAAGCTTTCTTTTCCCTTTCTTTGTCAGGTCAATGATAAAGTTGTTGAGTGGTAACTTTTAAAACAGCCCAGATGGATTCCATTTTCATTGCCTTATTTTGTGCATCCATTTTATTTGTAAATATTGAATTTAATATTTATTATAGAGAATCCATACTTTTGTCCATTTCGTGTTTAGCAAGACACATAAACACAGGTGATATCCAGAATATGTAAAACCAAAACAAAGGGCTGAAGATAGGAGAAAATGTTTGGAAAGTAAATTTCATACTAGAGGAAAAAACACTTAAGGATTTTTTTTCTTTTTTGGGGGGGGGGGTCAATTGTGGGGCTTTGAACTTGGACCCTGGGCATTCACAGGGCCTAGATGCTGTCCCTGCACTCTTATGCTTAAGGCTAGCACTCTACCACTTTGAGCCACAGTGTCACTTCTGATTTTTGAGTGGTTCCTTGCAGATAGGAATCTCACAGAGACTTTTTTCCCTGATCTGGCTTTGATCCTTGATCCTCAGTCAGATCTCAACCTCCTGAATAGCTAAGATTGTAAGCATGAGCCACTGACTCCCAGCTTAAGGTTATTTTTGACTGCTGCTTTTGACTGAATTCATAGTTAGTGTGGTTGACCAGTTTAGTGACCTGAAAATGACCAATGAATGTCATGCACAAAGACTTAATTTAGAAACTATTTTCTTCTATTAGAGCCTTGCAAAGGACCATCGCATGAAACTTATGCAGCAACAGCAGGAAGTGGCTGGACTTTCTAAGCAGTTGGAACATGTCATGCATTTTTCTAAATGGGCAGTTTCCAGCGGCAGCAGTACAGCATTACTTTACAGCAAGAGACTGGTAAGATGAAGACCTCTGGTCTTTGCAACTCAAAAAAGCTTTGGGAGGAGTAGCACTTGAGCTCAGGAGTTCAAGGCCAGCATGGACAACATAGCAAAACCCTGTACACACACACACACACACACACACACACACA